AATATAGTTCATTGATCTATGATGATTATTGATTATTTTTGTTGACACGAGTTCCATTGGCCGCAATCAATCCAGTAAACTGGACAAACGGTTGTGGTTGCTTGATGAGCATATTGGAATTGAGGAAATTCGCGTCATGAAATGTGGTATTTTGAAAATCAGACGAGTGACATGTGATCGAACTGAAACTGGCTTCTTTGATTTGAGTACTTCGAAAAGTAACATTGTGTAATTTCCTGGGGCGCAAATCTATGCGAAATAGTTGTGAATCGGTAAATGACATGTCTTTGAAATTTCCTTTAACAAAAGGGCTTTTTATGAGTACGACTTTTTGCACAAAGCATTCGTCCAAACAGATTCGACGTGTATTCATTTTGAATCATTCGAAATTATCAAAATCCGCTTGTCGAGATTGAATTCTATGGGCTATGGTATGTAGGAATCTAATGTTCATGAAACTAGTTCGCGATTGACAATTTAAAAAGCACTTGAAAGTAACGAAGCTTTTCTCTGCTCGAACGAATATTGTGGAAGGAAATGAAGAATCGCTACAGATGAATAAAGATAGATTGGCTGAAATGAGATTGATCCATCTGAAATCGACATGAAAGAAGGCTGCCTGATGTAGAGTAGCGTTTTCCAATGAAGTCTCGCAGAAATGCATGAGGTGCTTTCGGTAAATGTTGAAACAACACATTAGGTAAAGAAATGAAGCTGAAACTGGAATCAATCGAATTCATACGTACTCGTTTAAAGATGGTACAATTCAATCGGATATGACGAAATGAAGCATTTCTTAGAATAGTGCCGATTAAATACACATAAGAACAATTCATGACATTTTCTTGTGTACACTCATCTTTTTGCAAGATTTTTGTGGAAAAACGAGTGTTCTGTCAACTCGTTCAAGAACCAAGATACTTTGCTCTTTGGTTTTAGGTTAATGAAATTGCTGTCATCCAGAGATCGAAGCAAAAAGCTTTTTCTTCTCGGATCCTATTGAATCATTGCCGCGAGTGTCATAGATCTTCCGATATGGTTCTCGTTGCTAAACTTTTACTTAGTAACAATCCATTATTTAGAAGTAATCGGGAAAGAAAAATTTCATATTCATTAAGAATAGTTTGTCATTGGTGATCCAATGCTATTTCACTATCTTTGTCCCGATTTTGCTCAGCCATACTTATGTCTTTCTCACGCTTAGCTACAGCTATGGGTGAATTACTTCCATTCATAGTGATTGCATAGATTATTTCAAGGACTGGAATGCAAATCGTAGTCAATAATTGGATCCATTCAAACCAAAAATGATGTTTCTGATTCAAAATCGTCTTATTTTCACTGAAATATATCATTGTGAAGAGACTGAGCATCGAAAAATGGTCACTGAGGCTTTGCTTCCTGTATAACGGAATAAATACTCAAACGTTTCAACTAAATTTTTACGAGAATATTGATACAAATAATTGACGTGTCGGAAATGTCTGACTTGTTATTCTTATTACATATCTGTTAATGATTGAGAAAAATGCGCTCTATATATTCATGAAAAGTCAATATACACATTTATGGGATTCAGATTCAAGTATTAAAATCACTTTAATGGATGTTTGATGAATTATTCTCATTTTCACACGTTATCAAGATAAAAGTCTGTACAGAATTTTCGATTGATATTTGAAAAGTTTTAGTGCGAAGAGAGTCGGAAGTACTGACTTTTTGGATATCCAGAACAAAAGATATTTTCAGCTGACAACATGAAAAAAACGAAATTCCAATATTTTCTTTCACAGTGTGAACAAACTTTGATGACAACCATTTTGAAGTTAGCAAAGAGAAAATATTAGACATTAAAGCATAGAGATTTACAGTGAATTTTTAATTCTATTGACTGTTGTATAGAAACATGTATGATTTCATCTGTAATAGAAAAAGTCTGATGAGGATGCGAATGAAGATATATCATAATGATGTTGAGAACGATTGAATTGTGCAAGAATAGCAACAATTGAATTGGCCATTTCAACAGTATTGCAATATGATCGTGCATATTGAAGATCTAAACTTTCGAAAGCTCGATTTCTGTTCATAATCGATTCCCATTCAACGGCTTTCTCTTTCAATGTAACTCCGATTGAGATCCATTCAGTTTTGGTTTGACAGGAGTGAGTTATTTCATAACTATCTAGAATTTGAATTCGACAACTTAAGCATTCTTTTTTTGGACCATGACATTCGATTGTCTTGTTTATTTGACGATCATCATTATTGAAAAATAGCTGATGAATTGATCTGATAACATCGTTTCAACCGTATCTGCCGAACGTTCTAGAAATATATCACAGTCAAGACAATCGTGATAAACCGATCGAGTAAGAACTCTTCTTTCCGTGGCGATATCTCGAATCTCTGTTCAACAAGTGGTGTGACATAAAATAAATGCAATCTTTCACGATTGTTAGATCCATATGTAACGGTAACAGCGCAATATACATTGGAATCATTTGTAATCGTTTCACAATTAGGTCGTTGAAAAACATCACCAATGAGCACGAATTGTGTGCATGATGCTGTTAAAATCAACAGCAACAGAGCAAACATAGAAAGAACGACATATTCAACAAAGAAATGCATACAATTACGCCTTTTATGTCCCGCTGTTGTCAATAACAAATCTTATCTTTGTAGCGTTCTTTCTTCCATAGTAGTATTTTTTGTGGGTCATTTTCTTTACCAGATAATGCTTTGAGGTATCCTAAAAAAATGTTGGGTATGAGAGTGAGGATGTGGATGCCACTCTTGAAAACGCAACCGTCATCCTTCAGTTCTCATTTTAATTATATGATATGATTTGATTTCATGGAAAGAAAATACCTTTCGCGTTTTGTTTTTATTCTTTGTCTCGAAAAGAAAATGAGTAGCTATACATTTTGGGAAACTGAATGGTTTTCTTTCACTTCTACACTCACTAATATGCATTGGATCACACATCATTACTTTTAGTCCAGTCAGAAATTCTCTATGAACGATATCTATGCAAATAAAATCTTTCTAAAGAACACATTTTTGACATTTCCATTCGGCACTTTCAATTATTTTTAATTACTACCGTTCCATTTTAATTATAATATTCAAAGCCAAATCAAAGGAAAAAACCGCTGACATACATGCTGAAACCATGTGGAAAATCAGATAAAACTTTTCTCTTCACACTTACTCTCAAATTTCATCAACACAAGAACAACACAACACTCTCATAACTACAAAAAATATGATATCCAATGCAGTTTGGTTCTGGTCAATACTTCTCTCGCTCATTCTTTCATTCTTCTGTCTCATCTTTGTTCTCTACAACCTTCTTTTTGATCGAACACTTCGTCATGCTCTCAATAATCATATCATTATCATTATTCTGATCATCAATCTCATTACTGAACTAACAACATATCCATGGATGATCTATTTCTATTACAATGATGGTGTGTGGGAAGGAAGATCGATGATCTTCTGTGAAATATGGACATTTATTGACTGGGGATTATTTCTTACACATACAATACTTTTTGCGTGGGCAACTATCGAAAGACATATTTTGATCTTTCATGAAAGATGGGTATCAACACCAATGAGACGCTTCTTTGTTCATTATCTCCCAATAATTATCCTTCTTCTCTATAACTTGATCTTTAACATGGTCCTGGACTTCTTCCCACCTTGCGAGAATCCCTTTATCGATTACACTGCAGTGTGTACAACGTCATGCTTATATGATATAGACGTGTTAAGTCTATACGATACGATCGCCCACCAACTGGTTCCCGTTTTCGCAATAATTCTATTTAGTATTGCCTTGCTGTTGCGTGTTGTATGGCGAAGACGTCATGTTCAACAAGCAATTCAGTGGCGCAAGTATCGAAAGATGGCTATTCAATTGTTGGCAATTTCATTTCTTTATCTTTCATTTCTGTTTCCTCTATCAATGGGTACCCTTCTGCATTTCCTTGGCGTGACATCTTCGATGCTCTTTGATTTTCATGTATACACACTATTTTTAGTTTACTTTTTGTTACCACTTTTTCCTTTTGTTTGTGCTTTGTCGTTACCCGAGCTTCGAACAAAACTCGTCAAAGTTCTGTGTTTTCAACGACCAGTTGGACGTATTGGCATTGAAACATTGAAGATGGAAAAAGTGAAGATCGGACAACAAAGAAATCAGTAGATGTTTGGAAAGATCAAAAATAAACTAAATTGATTCGATTGCCCTATATAATAAGATGGGTGTGGGTGAAGACGAAAACAAGACTGTTATCTAGTAGCCCATATTCTCACCGACGATATCAATAGTATATGATAAGATAATAAACTATATATAAATATTTGGTGTAATCCTTTTATTTCACTTGTCGTCTTCTGCAGAGGAAGAGAGAAAGACGATTATAAAGGAACTACTGAGATCCAGAATATGGCTTTATTTGATTGATACAGTTTGCGTATTTTATATACACATGATATTGATCTTATCCTTTTTTAGCATTGAAAATGTCCTACGCAGGCTGATTACAAAAATATGTTTTTAACAGTTAATTAAAACTGACAAGGAGATCATTGATGAACTCAATGCATTATTGAAAAAAGCTAAGAAGGTTCACAAAGGTGTGTTAATTAGGAGAAGTGCTGGCGTCTCAACTAATGCAGTTAGCAATATTGTAAGTTTATCTGGAATTTTTTTAGCGACATTCATAGATGGTATGTCACTTACATTGACTATAGGGGGTTTGGCATTAACTACTTCTGAGACAGTTATTAATACTGAAACTACTATCGGTAAAGTTATTCGATTGAATCAATTTAGCAAAAAACTTTGAATTCTTACTGAAAAGCATGATAACATAGCTAAAAATTTATTCGAGACAGTAGAAAATGTGAAGACAATTGTTCGACTGTTAAAGAAAGATCATGCTGTGGATGAAACTAGTGCTACCTGAGCGACATTGAAAGCGATGGCAACTAACGGTGGTGCAATTACTGCACAGACTCAATCACTTGTACCAATGGTGAATGGAGCCCGATCAGTTAGCTCAACTGGTAGTAAATTGACAAGAGTCATCAGTATGGAAGGGAGCCTTAGTATAGCATTTCAACTTGGTAAATCGTTCAGTGATGTGATAACAGAAGAAATGAATAGTATTATACAAGTAATAAAGACGCCATCAAACGTTGCAAAAGCATGTTCATACGCAGCAACAAATGCTTTGACTATGTCATTTCGTACAATTGGTATTGTTATTACATTCTGAGAAATTAGAGATTTAGTAGATGAATTGCGAAAAAAGGATCCAACAATTGAAACTATAACAGACATGATCGAAAATTTAACAAGAGAACAAGCATCGTTACAAGTCATATCGAAAAGTAATTTGTTCGAATAAAATTTGATGAGCGTTCAAATAATATAGCTTTTTAAAATCCAAATTAAAGCTTGAAAACAAATATATGTGATTAGTTTGATATAATATTCATGGCGTGAAATTACATAGTGTTGTCTGTATGAGAAAAAGAAGTATGGAAACGGTAGAAAACTACATGTGCTGCTGAAAGTAAATTAGATTGACTTTGATAAAGAATACAATAGACTCGAATAGCGACAGGATCGTGTATTTTGAGATTCGAGACTTTTCTCAGTTAATGTAATTCTGACTGAAATCCGATCATTTTCAAAAACGATTGTTCTGTTAGTTTCATCTTCATTGTCGAAAAGTGGTGTTATCTAAATTTCTGATCGCTGATCCGACTGAACATTACAACGATGGATTTGCTTTTGTCAGCCAGTATGAGTATGGACATATGAAAGAGAAGGTCGATGTAGTTTCTGATAATTACTACTGCGCATTTGAATATCAACGCTGAGGAATTGGATATTTTCACATCGTTTCCAGGCAGTACGGAATTAGTAGTGTAATTCAAACGTAATGATGTATTCTCGTATCCAATTACATCGGAAGAATAGAGATATAGGTCAAGTTTCTTCATTTGAAAGAATATGAAGAAGCTTCGAAATTCAACTGCTTTAACTTGATTTTGATGATTGTACATAAGCACAATCATCCATCACTACATCCGCCTTCTCACTTATATTTACAGTCATGCAATTTGAGAAGAAATTATTCGATTTATGTCAATCAAGATTGATCTTTGAAGATCTGGAATGAACGCTTTTGTCCTTGATATTTCAAATAAAATAGTTCAATGTCATTTACAATTCGTGACAATTAATCTGTTCTTAAGCTAATTATCAATTATTTTCAATATATATGATAAATGTTGATCATGACAGATCAAGATGAGTTTATTTTTTTCCTGAATAAAAGATAAATCTTTCTATCACGACAATCGACTTGTACTAATAGAACTTTTTCACCGAATTTTATTCTGTTTGAATACATTTTTCTTCTTCTTCTCAACTTAATTGTTGATAATCATTGATTCTTATATATATATCTTCTCTGTTATAACGTAAAAACAAAGACACAATGTCATCATTGATTGCTGTCTTCACCACTCAACCATCGATCTATTATTTACCATTTGTATATGTAATTGGTGTATTCGGTAACATCATCAACATAGCTGTTTTCTGTCAATCCAAACTCTGTTCGAATAGTTGTTCACTTTATTTTATTTGTTTATCATTTTCTCATCTTTTGATGCTTAATTGTCCATGTTTGTTTCGAATAATCGCTGTAATGAATAACTACAATGTATTTGGTCGCGTGGACATTCTCTGTAAAATCAGTAATTATCTCGATGTTCTTCGTCTTGTTCTTTCCCGAAATTTTCTTTGTTTAATTTGCATTAATCGTTGGATGATCACATCACCGAATGCTTGGATTCGCAAACAAAGTTCACGTCGAACAGCCCGATGGGCTGTACTGATCACTTTCACATTTTGGGTGTTCGTAAACATTCATACAGCTACTGGTTATTCATCAATAAGTACAGTGTGCGCCAGTGCACGTGGTTACCTCGTGTTATCATCGATCTATCATATTGTTACAGCAATGGGCGCGTTGTTTATTATGATTTGGTTCAGTATTTTAACTTTGATGAACTTACGTCATGTTGGTCGTCGAGTGAATCCAATAACAATTCTAACTGGTCGAACTCATTTGGAAAGACAATCGCAAAAGAAACGAGAAATTCAATTTATTCGTTTATCGTTTCTGCAAGTTTTAATTTATATAATTCTAAATTCGTTGAGAACAGCAATGCCAGTTGTTCTTTATTATCTCACTGTTTTACGTAGTTCGACAAATAGTGAACGAGAAATTATTTATTTGTGCTATTATTGGGGAACGTATTTACTCTATACGTATGCAGCGATCACGTCAATGATATACATAGTAGCATCGAATACTTTTCGCGAACTATGCGGTGTTATATTCAAAAAAGTCTACTGTGCACTTCGACGTTGTCTGCTTCATGTATAAAGATCATAAGAATTATCCGTATAGTTTGTTTTTTTTTTACTTCAATTTCTTTTTCCTCTAAACAAAGATGACAACTGAAGTTTTGGCTTTTTTCGAAATAAAATCAATTAACTTTGTCATAGATTTCAATTTATTTCTCGTCTTGTTGAGTATCCTACTAAGCCATAAACTGAATCCTTTGTTTAATTGCATTTGTATTTGAGCAGCTTTACCCTCATTTATTGGAAAGAAATAAAAGACAAGGAAAAGTTCAGTATACTGAATAGTTTTACATTGTTTCTTGTATTTGATTGAATGCATTTGTTTCTGACGTATCAGATGATAATTGTATTGAGCAACACGCCGATGCGCAATTCCATGCTTGATTCCAACGTTTTACATCTATGTGTTTTTCAAAACTTGCGAAAAATTCCGACCAGGTAAACATTTTTTCCAACGATATTTCGAAATAATATGTTTATATTCGTAAATTACGATAACAAAGTGCGTTTATTTCTGTCATGCTCGCTGGAAGATGAATGATTGCTAAGGAGAAGGAAGAAAACAAAAGGTAAGGTATAATACACAAAGTGCGTAATATCAACAAAAACATGTGACTTGTCAACAGAAGGAGTTGAAATCGAATTTTTACAAAGATAATTCTATGTCTACGATCGGTAAACGACGCAATGATAACTTGCTCTCTCATTATCCATACTCAAGAAAATCTGAATTTGTTTTCTTTCTGCGACATGCGTCAAATTATATATAACCTTGATGTGAACGCAATTTTGCTCGTGACAAACATTACTGATGTAAAATGAGAAAAAGTTTCTGTATTGTCGAATGAAATAAACGGATCACGTTTTCCTTTGCTTGTTTAGTGAGAAAATAGAAGAATTTATGTTTTGCTTCTGATGTCATCGAGTCTATTGTTGGAGAATTAAACGCGAAATTGAAAATGCATACGTTCGTCGTTTCAGCATGTCTAAGGGTTTCGTTGTTATAATCACAGGAAACATTGATCTAGATCTCGAACCAGCGTCAAAAGCTTTGGCGTATTTTGTCCAATTGGGATGTACAGTACAATCACCTATTTTGCATGGCACACGGTTTCTTTACACATTAACTTGTCAACAAGGATTTTCTTATGATCAAGATTATGTCACAACACTTTTACATACTGGATCGTTTTCTATAACAATTGGATAGATTGTCTGAACAACTTATGTTTTCGAATTTATATCAAACATTTCGATAATACCGAAATTGTTCTTTTTTTCTCTTTTAAATAAATCAAATTTCATCGTTCTGGTCAAAAAAAGAAAGGAAAATTATAGTGTCATCTCTATGACATGCTCGCTGTATGATAACATCATGTTAAACCTTTGTTTGTTATCTACAGAGAAAAAAAAAGGTACACTTTGATAAATAAGAAATAGAAGATTTTTGTGTGAAGTTATTCGAGCTATGGCAAGTACAAAGTATGAACTTCGAGAGCGGGATGACAATAGTAAGAAAATTCAAAGTTTAATCATGAAATATGTTCTCATATAGACATTCCATCATCAACGACATCGAAATCGTGTCTAAATCTACAGCTTATCCGAAAGTTTCGTCAATATCCCATTCATTCGGGAATAATTGTCGCTTTATCGATTATCATTCTAGTCGCGTTGATAACATGTATTACTGTATTCACTAAGGATAGAACATCACCAACAACTCTATCGTTGAGTACAGCGACAACTTCATCGCTGAGTACTTTGACAACAACAACGACGACGACGACAACAACAACTGTGACAATGACAACATCCACATTGACAACACAAACTACAAGTAGAATAATCCAAAAGATTTCTCTTCTTTGTCTGATATTTGCATAGGCTCATGCAATAAATTTATGAGACAAATGAATTATTCCACCGGTGCTGGTTCTTATCCACATTCCGTATCTGTAGTTGACATTGATCAGGATGGAAACATCGATATTGTTGTCGCAAATAAAGGTACGAACAATATCGGTATTTTTTATAACAAAAGTGATGCCAAATTCGATACTCAAGTTACCTATCACACTGGAAATAAGCCATATTATGTATCTACAGGTGATTTTGATGGTGATCGGAAAGTTGATATTGCTGTCGCNCATATCTATACTAGTTACACGACAAAACAAAAAAGTCGATGATCTTTACGTACGTAGAATGAGTTCCATCGATCTCTTGTTACAACTCCATTGTATTTGTCTTGAATTTCATCCGTAACGCTTAAACAATCGAATGAATAAAGAATATTCGCTTCAATGTGAAATTGGCGAGGAGAACAAGTCCGGATTGGCACATATATCGAATCTGTCGGAATAGTAGACATAGGCCTTGTATCAACGCGAATTGAATTCGACGAATATGTACTTGAGGATGAAAAAAAAAGCGTTTTAAATAGTACAGCAAAACTTGTGCCTGATATTAAAATTGAAAATATTAATGAAATGATCACATGACATCTGGAGAGCTTCGAAAAGCTACGCATAGTCTGAGAGCTTTCTGATGATAAAAGAAGTCTCGACTGATCAGTAATACCAAAATTTTCAATTGGCAAAGATGGTAATAGGACATTTGCATTTGGCGATGAGTTTAAATTCGTGCTACAGAAAAGAATTCGAATGAAATTATCATTTCTTTAAAAGTAAGAAAAACATACGTTTCATGATTTTGTTGACCTATTGCTTCTTCTTTTAGATGAACAACTAAAAGTCGATCAATAAAATTCAACGGTTCACTTTCAATTTTCAAAAATGTTCCTGGCATGATGATCACTTCTTGCTCGTCCGGGAAGGCCGAATATTCATCAATTTTCTTGCCGTGTATCGTTTCAATCGCAAACAGAGTTCCTCGATCGCCTAAATAAATTTGAACGACATTAAGTGCTGTTGAAGAAGAGTTGACACTCCACCAAATCTTAACATCATCCTGCAATGAATAATTGTCTGTATCTCCGGATACGGCTCTCCAGACTGTTGTCGCGGATGATGGTAATTTTTCCAGGGCATTCAAAAACAATTTCAAGAAAGGAAACCAAGGCTTTAATGCATAGCGATCTTCCGCTCGGAGTGTATCGTTTAGCGCTGAAAAGAACGGTGTCGACATGGTATAAAGATAAATCGCAGCGGATTCATCCCAGGTTAATATATTGATTTGTCTGTTACATTTTTGTTTAGCGTCATCGACATATTTCATAATATCATTTACAAATGGGTGAAGTTTTTCAGCCGATTCTTCCAATGTCACTAACATCTGCTTTTTATAACCGTAAATCGGACTCCGATTTGCTTCTTGAAACTCTGAAATACTCTTATTTACATAACGATTACTTCGCAACGACGCCATGTCGAATGAATGATATTTTGATTTGATGATGAATATTTCGCAGTAGAATAGTATAGAAGTTACTNCACCATTCTCATCATCAATCTCATCACTGAACTAACAACATATCCATGGATGATCTACTTCTATTACAATGATGGTGTGTGGGAAGGAAGACCGATGATCTTCTGTGAAATATCGACTTTTATTGACTGGGGATTATTTCTCACACATACGATACTTTTTGCATGGGCAACTATCGAAAGACATATTCTGATCTTTCATGAAAGATGGGTGTCAACACGAATGAGACGCTTCTTTGTTCATTATCTCCCAATAATTCTACTTCTTCTCTATAACTTGATCTTCAACATGGTCTTAGACTTCTTTCCTCCTTGTGAGAATTCGTTTATCGATTACATTGCAGTGTGTACAGCGTCATGCTTATATGATATAGATGCAGTAAGGGTGTACGACGCGATCGCCCACCAACTGGTTCCCGTTTTCGCAATAATTCTATTTAGTATTGCCTTGCTCTTACGTGTTGTATGGCGAAGACGTCATGTTCAACAAACAATTCAGTGGCGCAAATATCGAAAGATGACTATTCAATTGTTGTCAATTTCATTTCTTTATCTTTCATTTCTGTTTCCTCTATCAATGGGTTCCCTTCTCTTTTATCTTGGCGTCACATCTCCGATTCTCTATGATTACCATGTATACACACTATTTTTCGTTTACTTTTTGCTACCACTTTTCCCCTTTGTTTGTGCTGTGTCTTTGCCTGAGCTTCGAAAAAAGCTCACAAAAGTTTTGCGATTAAGTCGATTCGCTCAACGTGTTGCTCCTGCAACATTACCAGTTGAAGCTTTTGTTAGCAAACGACGACGCAATCAGTAGGTGTTGTGTTGTCTTCAGAAGCGAAATTGATTTTGTTGATTTGTCTAACAAGTAGAATAGCTTTATTTAATCTGATGTAGTTTATTCCATTTCAGTGTTTATTTGAAAATATAGTTCATTGATCTATGATGATTAGTGATTATTTTTGTTGACACGAGTTCCATTGGGCGCAGTCAATCCAGTAAACTGGACAAACGGTTGTGATTGCTTGATGAGCATATTGGAATTGAGGAAATTCGCGCCATGAAATGTGGCATTTTGAAAACCAGACGATAGCGACATGTGATCGAACTGAAACTGGGTTCTTTGATTTGAGCACTTCGAAAAGTAACATTGTGTAATTTACTGGGGTGCAAATCTATGCGAAATAGTTGGGAATTGGTAAATGACATGTCTTTGAAATTTCCTTTAACAAAAGGGCTTTTTGTGAGTACGACTTTTTGCAGAAAGCATTCGTGCAAACAGATTCGACATGTATTCATTTTGAATCATTCCAAATTATCAAAATCCGCTTGTCGAGATTGAGATCTATGGGCTATGGTATGTTGAAATCTAGTGCTCATGAAACTAATTTGCGATCGGCAATTAAAAAAGCACTTGAAAGTAGCGGAGCTTTTCTCTGCTCGAACGAATATTGCGGAAGAAAATGAAGAATCGCTACAGATGAATGAAGATAGATTGGCTGAAATGAGATTGATCCGTCTGAAATCGACATGAAAGAAGGATGCCTGATGTAGAGTAGCGTTTTCCAATGAAGTCTCGCAAAAATGCATGAGGTGCTTTCGGTAAATGTTGAAACAACACATTAGGTAAAGAAATGAAGCTGAAACTGGAATCAATCGAATTCATACGCACTCTTTTAAAGATGGTACAATCCAATCGGATATGACGAAATGAAGCATTTCTTAGAATAGTGCCGATTAAATACACATAAGAACAATTAATGATATTTTCTTGTGTACACTCATCTTTGCACGAGTTTTGTGGAAAAACGAGTGTTCTGTCATCTCGTTCAAGAACCAAGATACTTTGCTCTTTAGTTTTAGGGTAATGAAATTGCTGTCATCCAGAGATCGACGCAAAAACCTTTTTCTTCTCAGATCCAATTGAATCATTGCCGCGAGTGTCATAAATCTTCCGATGGTTCTCGTTGCTAAACTTTTACTTAGTAACAATCCATTATCTAGAAGTAATCGGAAAAGAAACATTTCATATTGATTGAGAATAGTTTGTCCCGATTTTGCTCAGCTATACTTACGTCTTTCTCACGCTTAGCTGCAGCTATGGATGAATTACTTCCATTCATAGTGGTTGCATAGATTATTTCAAGGACTGGAATGCAAATCGTAGTCAATAATTGGATCCATTGAAGCCAAAAATGATGTTTCTGATTGAAAATCGTCTTATTTTCACTGAAATGTGCCATTGTGAAGATACTGAGTATCGAAAAATGGTCACTGAGGCTTTGCTTCTTGTATAACGGAATAAATATCCAAACGTTTCAACTAAATTTTTACGAGAATATTGATGCAAATAATTGACGTGTCGGAAATGTCTGACTTGTTATTCTCATTACATATCTGTTAATGATAGACAGAAATGTGTTCTATATATTCATGAAAAGTCAATATACACATTTATTGGATTCAGATTCAAGTATTAAAATCACTTTAATGGATGTTTGGCGCATTATTCTCATTTTCGTGTACATTGAAGATCTAAACTTTCGAAAGTTCGATTTCTGTTGATAATCGATTCCCATTCAACGGCTTTCTCTTTCAATGTAACTCCGATTGAGATCCATTCAGTCTTGATTTGATAGGACTAAATGATTCGAAAACTATCTAGAATTTGGATTCGACAACTTAAGCATTCTTTTTTTGGACCATAACATTCGATTGTCTTGTTTATTTGACGATCATCATCATTGGAAAGTAGCTGATGAATTGATCTGATAACATCGTTTCAACCGTATCTGCCAAACGTTCTAGAAATATATCACAGTCAAGACAATCGTTATCTTTCAGGATTGTTTGATCCATATGTAACGGTAACAGTGCAATGTACAATGAAATCATTTATAACCGTCTCACAATTAGGTCGTTGAAAAACATCACCAATGAGCACGAATTGTGTGCATGATGCTGTTGAAATCAACAGTAACAGAGCAAACATAGAAAGAACGACATATTCAACAAAGAAATGCACACAATTACGTCTTTTATGTCCCGCTGTTGTCAATAAAAAATCTTATCTTTTGAGAGTTCTTCCTTCCATAGTAGTATTTTTTGTGCGTCATTTTCTTTATCAGATAATGCTTTGATGTTCATTTTAATTCTTTGATATGATTTGATTTCATGGAAGGAAAATACTTTTCCCGTTTCGTTTTTATTCTTTGTCTCGAAAAGAAAATAAGTAGGTATACATTTTGGGAAACTGAATGGTTTTCTTTCACTTCTGCACAAACTAATATGCACTGGATCACAAATCATTACTTTTAGTACAGTCAGAAATTCCCCTATGAGCGGTAAATATGCAAATAAAATCTTTCTAAAGAACATACTTTTGATATTTCCATTCGGCACGTTCAACTATTTTTAATTGCCATCGTTACATTTTAATTATGCTATTAAAAGCCAGATCAAAGAACAAACCGTTGACGTATATTCTGCAACTCTGTGGAAAATCAGATAAAACTTTTCTCTTCATACTTACTCTCACATTTCAACACAAGAACAGCACAACACTCTCATACCTACAAAAATATGATATCCAATGCAGTTTGGTTCTGGTCAATACTTCTCTCGCTCATTCTTTCATTCTTCTGTCTCATGTTTGTTCTCTACAACCTTCTTTTTGATCGAACACTTCGTCATGCCCTCAATAATCATATCATTATCACCATTCTCATCATCAATCTCATCACTGAACTAACAACATATCCATGGATGATCTACTTCTATTACAATGATGGTGTGTGGGAAGGAAGACCGATGATCTTCTGTGAAATATGGACATTTATTGACTGGGGATTATTTCTCACACATACAATACTTTTTGCATGGGCAACTATCGAAAGACATATTCTGATCTTTCATGAAAGATGGGTGTCAACACGAATGAGACGCTTCTTTGTTCATTATCTCCCAATAATTCTCCTTCTTCTCTATAACTTGATCTTCAACATAGTCCTAGACTTCTTCCCTCCTTGTGAGAATTCGTTTATCGATTACATTGCAGTGTGTACAGCGTCATGCTTATATGATATAGATGTGTTAAGTCTATACGATACGATTGTCCACCAACTAGCTCCCGTTTTTACAATAATTCTATTTAGTATTGCCTTGCTGTTGCGTGTTGTATGGCGAAGACGTCATGTTCAACAAGCAATTCAGTGGCGCAAGTATCGAAAGATGACTATTCAATTGTTGTCAATTTCATTTCTTTATCTTGCTTTCTTGTTTCCTCTATCAATGGGTACCCTTCTGCATTTCCTTGGCGTGACATCTCCGATTCTCTTTGATTTTCATGCATACACACTATTTTCAGTGTACTTCTTGTTACCACTTTTCCCTTTTGTTTGTGCTTTGTCGTTACCTGAGCTTCGAAAAAAACTCGTCAAAGTTCTGTGTTTTCAACGGCCAGTTGGGCGTGTTGGCATTGGAACATTGAATATGGAAAAAGTGAAGATCGGACAAAATAAACTAAATTGATTCGATTGCCCTATATCATAAGAGGAATAGCCTTGTTCTTATGTAATTTTAATTCTTGAGGGTGAGAGTGGGTGAAGATGAAAACAAGACTGTTATCTACTAGCCCACATTCTCACAGACGATGTCAATAGTATATGATAAGATAATAAACTATATATAAATATATGGTGTAATCCTTTCACTTCACTTGTCGTCTTCTGCAGTGGGAGAGAGAAAGACAATTATAAAGGAACTACTGAGATCCAGGATATGACTTTATTTGATTGATACAGTTTGCGTATTTTATATACACATGATATTGATCTTATCCTTTTTTAGCATTGAAAATGTCCTACGCAGGCCGATTGCAAAAATAGGTTTTTAACAGTTAATTAAAACTGACAAGGAGATCATTGATGAACTCAATGCATTATTGGAAAAAGGTAAGAAGGTTCACAAAGTTGTGTTAGTTTAGTAGAACTGCTGGCGTCTCAACTAGTACAGTTAGGAATATTGTAAGTTTATCTGGATTTTTTTAGCGACACTCATAGGTGGTCTATCGCTTACATTGGCTATAGTGGGTTTGGCATTAACTACTTCTGAGATAGTCATTAATACTGGAGCTACCATCGGTAAAGTTATTCGATTGAATCAATTTAGCAAAAAACTTTGAATTCTTACTGAAAAGCATGATAACATAGCTAAAAATTTATTCGAGACGGTAGAAAAGGCGAAGAAAATTGTTCGACTGTTAAAGAAAGATCATGCTTTGGATGAAACTAGTGCTACCTGAGCGACATTCAAAGCGATGGCAACTAACGGTGGTGCAATTACTGCACAGACTCAATCATTTGTACAGGTGGCGAATGGAGCCCGATCAGTTAGCTCAACAGGTAGTAAATTGACAAGAGTCATCAGTGCGGAAGGGAGCCTTAGTATAGCATTTCAACTTGGTACATCTTTAAGCGATGTGATAAAAGAAGAAATGAATGGTATTATACAAGTAATAAGGACGTCATCAAATGTTTTGACTACGATATTTTGGTAGACGAATTGCGAAAAAAGGATCCAACAATTGAAACTATAACAGTCATGATCGAAAATTTAACAAGAGAACAAGCATCGTTACAAGTCATATCGAAAAGTAATTTGTTCGAATAACACAGCTTTTTAAAATCCAAATTAAAGCTTGAAAACAAATATATGTGATTAGTTTGATCTAATATTCATGACGTAAAATTACGTAGTGTTGTCTGTATGAGAAAAAGAAGTATGGAAATGATAGAAAACTACATGTGCTGCTGAAAGTAAATTAGATTGACTTTGATAAAGAATACAATTGACTCGAATAGCGACAGGATTGTGTATTTTGAGATTCGAGACTTTTCTCAGTTAATGTAATTCTGACTGAAATCCGATCATTTTCAAAAACAATTGTCCTGTTAGTTTCATCTTCATTGTCGAAAAGTGGTGCTACCTAAATTTCTGATCGCTGATCCGACTGAACATTACAACGATGGATTTTCTTTTGTCAGCTGGTATGATTATGGACATATGAAAGAGAATGCCGATGTAGTTTCTAATAATTACTACTGCGCATTTGAATATCGTCGCTGAGGAATTGGATATTTTCACATCGTTTCCAGGCAGTACGGAATTAGTAGTGTAACTCAAACGTAATGATGTATTCTCGTATCCAATTACATCGGAAGAATATGAAGAAGCTTCGAAATTCAACTGCTTTAACTTGATTTTGATGATCGTACATAAGCACAATCATGCATCACTACATCCGCCTTCTCACTTATATTCACAGTCATGCAATTGGAGAAGAAATTATTCGATTTATGTCAATCAAGATTGATCTTTGAAGATGTGGAATGTCGAACGCTTTGTCCTTGGATGATATTTCAAATAAAATAGTTCAATGTCATTTACAATTCGTGACAATTAATCTATTCTTAAGCTAATTATCGATTATTTTTCCATATATATGATAAATGTTGATCATGACAGATCAAGATGAGTTTATTTTTTTCCTGGATGAAAGATAAATCTTTCTATCACGACAATTCGACTTGTACTAATAGAACTTTTTCACCGAATTTTATTCTGTTTGAGTACGTTTTTTCTTCTTCTCCTCAACTTAATTGTTGATAATCATTGATTCTTATATATCTTCTCCATTACTAAGTGAATACAAAGACACAATGTCATCATTGATTGCTCTCTTCACCACTCAACCATCGATCTATTATTTACCAATTGTATATGTAATTGGTGTATTCGGTAACATCATCAACATAGCTGTTTTCTGTCAATCCAAACTCTGTTCGAATAGTTGTTCACTTTATTTTATTTGTCTATCATTTTCTCATCTTCTGATGCTTAATTGTCCATGTTTGTTTCGAATAATCGCTGTAATGAATAACTACAATGTATTTGGTCGCGTGGACATTCTCTGTAAAATCAGTAATTATCTCGATGTTCTCAGTCTTATTCTTTCCCGAAATTTTCTTTGTTTAATTTGCATTAACCGTTGGATGATCACATCACCGAATCCTTGGATTCGCAAACAAAGTTCACGTCGAACTGCCCGATGGGTTGTGCTAATCACCATTACGTTTTGGGTGTTCGTGAACGTTCACACAGCTACTGGTTATTCATCAATAAGTACAGTGTGTGCCAGTGCACGTGATTACCTCGTGTTATCGTCGATCTATCATATTGTTACAGCAATTGGCGCGTTGTTCATCATGATTTGGTTCAGTATTTTAACTCTGATGAACTTACGTCATGTCGGTCGTCGAGTGAATCCACTAACAATTCTAACTAGTCGAACTCATTTGGAAAGACAATCGCAGAAGAAACGAGAAATTCAATTCATTCGTTTGTCGTTTCTGCAAGTTTTACTTTATATAATTCTAAATTCGTTGAGAACAGCAATGCCAGTTGTTCTTTATTATCGCACTGTTTTACATAGTCCGACAAATAGTGAACGAGAAATTATTTATTTGTGCTATTATTGGGGAACGTATTTACTCTATACGTATGCAGCGATCACATCAATGATATATATAGTAGCATCGAATACTTTTCGCGAACTATGCGGTGTTATATTCAAAAAAGTATACTGTGCAACTCGACGTTGTCTGCTTCATGTATAGAGATCATAAGAATTATCCGCATAGTTTGTTGTTTTTACTTCAATTTCTTTTTCATGTAAACAAAGATGACAGTTGAAGTTTAGGCATTTTTTTAAAATAAAATCAATTAACTGTGTCATAGATTTCAATTTATTTCTCGTCTTGTTGAGTATCCTACTAAGCCGTGAACTGAATCCTTTGTTCAATTGCATTTGTATTTGAGCAGCCTTATACTCTCATTTATTGCGGAAAGAAATAAAAGACAAGGAAAAGTTCAGTATATTGAATAGTTTTACATTCTTTCTTGTATTTGATTGGATGCATTTGTTTCTGGCGTATCAGATGATAATTGCATTGAGCAACACGCCGATGCGCAATTCCATGCTTGATTCCAACGTTTTACATCGATGTGTTTTTCAAAACTTGCGAAAAATTCCGACCAGGTAAACATTTTTTCCAACGATATTTCGAAATAATATGTTTATATTCGTAAATTACGATAACAAAATGCGTTTATTTCTGTCGTGCTCACTGAAAGATGAATGATTGCTAAGGAGAAGGGAAAAAACACAAAAGGTAACGTATAATACACAAAGTGCGTAATATCAACAAAAACATGTGACTTGTCAACAGAAGGAGTTAAAATCGAATTTTTACAAAGATAATTCTATGCCTACGATCGGTAGACGACGCAATGATAACTTGCTCTATCATTATCCATACTCAAGAAAAATTGAGTTTGTTTTCTTTCTGCGCCATGCGTCAAATTATATATAACCTTGATGTGAACGCAATTTTGCTCGTGACAAACATTACTGATGTAAAATGAGAAAAAGTTTCTTTATTGTCGAATGAAATAAACGGATCACGTTTTCCTTTGCTTGTTTAGTGAGAAAATAGAAGAATTTATGTTTTGCTTCTGATGTCATCGTGTCTATTGTTTGAGAATTAAACGCGAAATTGAAAATGCATACGTTCGTCGTTTCAACATGTCTAAGGGTTTCGTTGTTATAATCACAGGAAATATTGATCTAGATCTCGAACCAGCGTCGAAAGCTTTGGCGTATTTTGTCCAATCGGGATGTACAGTACAATCACCTGTTTTGCATGGCACACAGTTTCTTTACACATTAACTTGTCAACAAGGGTTTTCTTATGATCAAGATTATGTTGCAACACTTTCACATTCTGGATCGTTTTCTATAACAATTGGATAGTTTTTCGGAACAGCTGAAGATTATGCACAAAAGAACTTGAATTTATGTTTTCGAGTTTATATCAAACATTTCGGTAATACCGAAATTGTTCTTTTTTTTCCTTTTAAATAAATCAAATTTCATCGTTCTTGTCAAAAAAAGAAAGGAAAATTATAGTGTCATCTCTATGACATGCCCGCTGTATGATAACATGATGTTAAACCTTTGTTTGTTATCTAGAGAGAAAAAAAAGATACACTTTGATAAATAAGAAATAGAAGATTTTTGTGTCAAGTTATTCGAGCTATGGCAAGTACAAAGTATGAACTTCGAGAGCGGGATGACAATAGTAAGAAAAATCAAAGTTTAATCATGAAATATGTTCTCATATAGACATTCCATCATCAACGACATCGAAACCGTGTCTAAATCTACAACTTATCAGAAAGTTTCGTCAATATCCCATTCATTCGGGAATAATTGTCGCTTTATCGATTATCATTCTAGTTGCGTTGATAACATGTATTACTGTATTCACTAGGGGTAGGACATCACCAACAACTCTATCATTGAGTACTTTGACAACAACAACAACAACAACAACAACAACAACAACAACAACAACGACAACAACAACAACTGTGACAATGACAACATCCACATTGACAACACAAACTACAAGTAGAATAATCCAAAAGATTTCTGTCCTTTGTCTGATATTTGCATAGGTTCATGCAATAAATTTATGAAACAAATGAATTATTCCACCGGCGCTGGTTCTTATCCACATTCCGTATCTGTAGTTGACATTGATCAGGATGGAAACATCGATATTGTTGTCGCAAATAAAGGTACGAACAATATCGGTATTTTTTATAACAAAGGTGATGCCAAATTCGATACTCAAGTTACCTATCACACTGGAAATAAGCCATATTATGTATCTACAGGTGATTTTGATGGTGATCGAAAAGTTGATATTGCTGTCGCAAACTCTGAATCAAATAATGTTGGTATTTTCATGAATATGGGTAATCGAACATTTGCTTCTCAAGTGACTTATCGAACTGGTCCTGTTCCTACGTCGATCGCAATCGCTGACATAGATCAGGATGGGAACGTTGACATTATCGTTCCTCATTCTGGCTCCGAAGGAATAGGCATTCTTTATAATTTGGGGAATGGAACATTCAAAGATATTGTCGTTTATTTTTCTGGTTTTGAACCATATTCTGTAGCAGTTATGGATATTGATGGTGATAATAGGAGCGATATTATCGTTGCAAATAGTGGTGACAATGATATTAGTGTTCTTATCAGTCAGGATAACCGAACATTTGCTGATCCAGTCAGATATCCTGTAGGTGAGGAGCCGGTTTCTTTATTTGTGATTGATGTTAATGATGATGAAAGAGCCGATATTCTCGTTGCTAATCGTGAGTCAAGTAATATTGGAATTCTCATGAACAATGGTAATCGAACATTTGCTGCTCAAGTTACTTATCCAACAAATGCCAAACCCTATTTTATAACAGCAGCTGATTTGAACTACGATAAGAAAATTGACATTCTTGTGGCAAATCAACACAGTAGCAGTATTGGTATTTTCTATAATAAAGGAAATGGTGTATTTGACAAACAAGTCACTTATCCGGATGGCGTTTCTCCTGAGTCTTTAGCAGTAGCAGATCTAAATAAAAATAATAAACTTGATATTATTGCCGCGAACGCAGATTCTGATCGTGTTGCAGTGTTACTCGATGAATGTGTTTAGTATAAAAAAATGATCTTTTTATTCAAAATAAAAGAGTATTTTATTGAAAATGAAAATTATTCGTGAATTTTCATAAAACATGATATTATATTGCTCATAACACCGTTCAATTTCATCATGTGTCAGTCCAATGTCTTCTACAGTGTACGCATTACGTCCCTATTTGCCTTAAGGAGCCAGTGAGAACGAGATTCATCAACATTGCTCAGCACTTGTAGGAAGGCTTTATGATACTCATATTCAAAATCTTTACTCGTCCCATCGAAGAGTCAAGTTACCAATTCAATAATGTCATGTGGCACGAGCAAAAATTTAGTAAAACTAACTTCGTATGAGAGATGAGAATGAGCGGAGTGGGTATCGATTGCGTTTGGAGTTTCATTTTAGAATATGTACCTATGTAGTTAAATACATTCTTACAGTTCGCGTATTCTTTCTCTATTTTTGTGCATTTTGACAAGGAATAACGAAATAAGAAGAGAAAAAAAACGTGCGATTACGTTGATACGACAGACGTTGTTTTGAACACCGTGATTAACATCGTGTGCGTGTACATTTCACTTGTTGTTCGACGTCGTATTATCGAATACAAGAACTTTAATTACATTTGAAAATAGTTATTTTTGTTTAATTGAAATACAGTTTCGTTGGATCTGGATCGTTCTTATAAAGTGCTTGAATTTCTTGAGATTTCAACTGCCGTGAGTAAAATCTCAAATCATCAATTCCAATCACCATCGATTTGGTGACTTCATCAAAAGGACATGAGTATTTACTCGAAAATTGTCGTTGAGAATTTCCGATTCTTAAAATAAAACGCTGTTGATTATCATAATGAAAATCCTTTTGAATAGATGAACCAGCAAGATTACCATTGATATAAAATGACCAATTATTCATTTCGGAAATAAAGACAAAATGAAACCACGTGGAATACTCAACAGATGTATTTGAAATGAAAATGATCGCTTTTCCAGATTCATACATATGCATTGATATTTGAAGTTTATTTTCTTCTAGAAAACCACGCGGATTATGAAATTGAATTGAATTTAATCTGAAAGTTCTTACCTGTTCGTCTCAACACGAGAAGATTCAAGCAATCGTTTTGCAATGGAAGTTTCTTCATGAAATGTAATAAAGGTATAGCAGACGAAGATTGATTTGATATATGTATCCATAATGAATACGAATAGGAATAATTAAATGTTGAAAGAAGAAGGAAATTACTTGTGTGAAAATCCGATAATATTGAGTTATATAAACATAGAACGTTACGATTGGGTATTCTGTTGTTTCCAATTGAATGGGATATATGTGAACCATGGGCGTTAATGGAATTTACACTATGATCTCTTAGAAGAAATTCGCTGTCAATATTATCATCTTGAAAAGTATAATGAACAACTAATGTCGCTTCGTTGAGAATATCACTCGGACTTTTGATATCGAAAAAAATCGATAATTGATCGATTAAGCCATGAAATTTGTTACTGCTTTGTAGACTTCCAAAAGTTGTTTGTGTTATTCGATAATTTCCATACGGATGATGTCCAATAGAAGTTTGAACGTTTAAAATTCCATCGATAAAAATGCTCATCGAGATATTCTTTTCATTAAATACGAATGATAAATATTGCCATTGATTGTTTTTTAATTTCTTTGTTGACCATAATGATGTTCCGTAAATACTCATGACAACATATTCTTCAATTATAGATATGTTAAATGAAGGTGCCGTAACGTAGATTTGATTCACTAGACCATAAATTTGTGAGACTTCAATATTTGGATTTACCCAAAAACTTAATGTGAATGATTGGTTAAATAAGATTGGTGACTGGACCAAAGGAACGTATTTACTACTATTAGGATGGAATTGAATTGCTGAACCTACGCCGGAATAATCAGGTGAGACATACGTTGGTGCTTTGATTTCATTGAATTCACTCTAAAAAGTATATCTTTTTATAATCTTGTGAAAATTCTCTTTTCTTAAACCTCGTGATCATGAGCATTTCTTTTGCCCTTCCTTTAACAACTAGCACGACAAAACAAAAAAGTGGACGATCTTTACGTACGTAGTATGAGTTCCATAGATCTCTTGTTACAACCCCATTGTATTTGTCTTGAATTTCATCCGTAACGCTTGAACAATCAAATGAATAAAGAATATTCGCTTCAATGTGAAATTGGCGAGGAGAACAAGTCCGGATTGGCACATACATCGAATCTGTCGGAATAGTAGACATAGGCCTTGTATCAACGCGAATTGAATTCGACGAATATGTACTTGAGTATGAAAAGAAAAGCGTTTTAACTAGTATACCAAAACTTGCGCCTGGTATTAAAATTGCAAATATTAATGAAACGATCAAATGACATTTGGAGAGCTTCGAAAAGCTACGCACATTCTGAGAGCTTTCTGATAAAAGAAGTCTTGATTGATCAGTAATACCAAAATTTTCAATTGGCAAAGATGGTAATAGGACATTTGTACTTGGCGATGGATTTAAATTCGTGCTACAGAAAAGAATTCGAATGAAATTATCATTTCTTTAAAAGAAAGAAAAACCCATACGTTTCATGATGTTGTTGACCTATTGCTTCTTCTTTTAGATGAACAACTAAAAGTCGATCAATAAAATTCAATGGTTCACTTTCAATTTTCAAAAATGTTCCTGGCATGATGATCACTTCTTGCTCGTCCGGAAAGGCCGAATATTCATCAATTTTTTTGCCGCGTGTCGTTTCAATCGCAAACAGAGTTCCTCGTTCGCCTAAATAAATTTGAACGACATTGAGTGCTGTTGAAGAAGAGTTGACGCTCCACCAAATCTTAACATCATCCTGCAATGAATAATTGTCTGTATCTCCGGATACGGCTCTCCAGACTGTTGTCGCGGATGACGGTAATTTTTCCAAGGCATTCAAAAACAATCTCAAGAAAGGAAACCATGGCTTTAATGCATGGCGATCTTCCGCTCGGAGTGTATCGTTTAGCGCTGAAAAGAACGGTGTCGACATGGTATAAAGATAAATCGCAGCGGATTCATCCCAGGTTAATAAATTGATTTGTCTGTTACATTTTTGTTTAGCGTCATCGACATATTTCATAATATCGTTAACAAATGGATGAAGTTTTTCAGCCGATTCTTCCAATGTCACTAACATCTGCTTTTTATAACCGTAAATCGGACTGCGATTTGCTTCTTGAAACTCTGTAATACTCTTATTTACATAACGATTACTTCGCAACGATGCCATGTCGAATGAATGATATTTTGATTTGATGGTGAATATTTCGCAATAGAATAGTATAGACGTTACTATTACTCATTCGTCATATTTCATGATATCGTGCGATTCAATCATTCATGATATTCGTGATTATGGAAAGGAAAAAAGAATGCATATGGCTAGTCGCTCGATTTGACGCATTTTGTTTTGCTTTTCAATAGAAAAGATGAAGTAATGATAAAGTGATTGCATCTTTATTTGTTATCTGACAAAAATAAACAAAATCAGGTTTCTCTCTCTCACGTGTATTTTTCATATAGAAAAACTGCGAAAGGAGCGATTTTGTTTTCAATTACACAGAGAAAATTATTTTTTACTTTATCTCGAGAGTGAGTGAGATGCACAAACTTGCACGATTTCAAAAGATAAACGTTTCGATGGAAAATTCGATAACTTTATCGAGTCGGATTTTGATGTTTATGTTTTCGATACAAATCAAATGATAAAGACAAAACTGAAAGCGAATTTTCAATTAAAAATGCAAAGAACCAATTCTTTTCGTGACTCCATTCTATCCATGTGATAGTCTTTGGTATATCGCAAACAAATTAAATTATATTGGTTAATTGTTTTTACTAAGCCTATCTTAAGTAAGTGCTACTAATCATCTATAAGAAGAGTATAAATGGCATCGCTTTTTCTTGTTATTTTACAGTTTAATTTTGTACTCCAAGTATAATGACAATGAAAGGTAGATCCAAATTTTGATTTTATTCATTCATTGAACGTCAGTGTTATTTTAGATTTCAGTGTTTTTCTTGTCTGTGCAGTCTTATTGTTTTCCAATGTGAATGCATCAGCAGTACAAGAAACAGCGGATGATGAAGTTCAAGAACGATTTATTCCAGTGGTTGCAGCGGTCATTGCTCGAGTCGTCACTATTCTTGGACCACGCGTGACAATTTTTGCTACATGTATGGGCGGTGCTTTTACATTGGAATGCGGTCAGAAGATGTTAGACTGTGCAATGCGTGGAAAAGCTCCTTGGGAGTGCATTGGCGGACTTTGGTGTAGTGGGAAATCGGCTGCTAATTGTGCTAAGCTTTCCGGCTGAAAACTGAGCGTGCGATGTTTTATTATGTTATTGCTAAAAGTTTAATAAAGCATTTGTTCATCTAAAGAAATATGAAGAATGATGATGTGGGTGAGAGTTTCAATCTCGAACTTCAACGATAATTACTCTATGCAACAACTCACACAATTTTCTCTTTCTCCGATTTGAGAGATACTAAAAATAAATTTCTTTGTTTGCTTTCTTCTATCGTCTAAAAGGCTTCAATTGCAATTGAAGTGAAATAACAGTAGAGAAAATTTTTCTTTTCGTCAAAGAACGATCGATTGAAAGATTCTTCCTTCATATTACACCGCATTAGTAAAGAATTTAATAAGTATAGTGCCCTTAATTGATCTATTTAGATTTTGGTTGACAATGACCGATAAACATGAAACTCGTGTTCACGAACATTTCCATCGAAAAGGTGATCAAATAACTGAAGCTGAATATGTTTATGATGAAATTCTCGGCAAAGGCAAAGTAAATCAAAAACGTGTACACGTCAGACGAGAAGTTTTCGAGCAAATCGCTGCTACGATTAAGAAAGAAACACTGCCATTTGAAGATTTCATCAAAGTAGTTCGACCATTTCTAATGGTAGAAAGTGCACTTGCAGACATACCTGAAGCATTTAGTTTGCTTGATACAGACAAGTCAAATTCAATTAATATTAACGAATTGGCTGTGTTTATGCCTGCTATTGTACCTAATTCTAATCAATATTTGCTTCTTCGTTACTTTCAACCGGCTGATACAAACAATGATTATATGCTCAGCTTGGAAGAATTTACAGAATTTATTAAGAAAGGTGTTGTACGAGATCTTGCACTTGGTCGCATTACAAACTAAATTCTTTGTACGAAGAGATTTTTTCAGAAGCATGTATTGTCTCTGAATTGGGAATAAATCCTAACTGATTCTCTTTTTTTTTCATTGTTTTATTACTTTGTTGACACATGTATCCACGTGCTGCTGTTCTTATCGTTTGATTGCTGTTGTGCCTCTACAGCAAATATTATTCATTTTAAAAAAAAGATCTTCATGTTTTATTTTGAATAATTTAGACTCTTTGATGCTAATTAGAGAACAAAGTTTTCTTAACACAATGACTTCAAGACAAGATATATCATTGAATTTCATCGAAACGTTTGTAATTAGTAGTGTTACAGCTGTGGCGGCGAGAACGTTGATCACTCCGGTTGATCGTTGTAAAATACTTATTACGCACCAAGCACAGTTCTTGAAAGATGGTCTCATTTCTAGACCATACAAAGGTTTTATCGATTGCATGATACAAACGTACAAGTATAGAGGTATTCGTCCATTATATCAAGGCAACTTAGCAATATGCATTCGACATTTTCCTATTCATGCATTGAACTTTGCTTTTAAGAATGAAATTAAACGTATGTTCAAACAGAACAGCAACGATTCATATTCGAAAATTTTCTTGGAAAATTTCGTTAGTGGTAGCATTGCCGGTGCATTGTCTGTATGTATTTTGTACTCGTTGGATAATGCTCGACAGCATGTATATAAAGATATTAGGACTGGTAAAATCAGAAGGGAGAAAGGGCAATTATATCGCATTATGAATGCGTACAAAAATATATTAGCTACGGATGGCATAGGTGGTCTCTATCGTGATTTTCTTATTGTCTGCGTGCATGATGTTATTTATCGTGGATGCTATTTCGGTTTCTATGATACATTGAAGCCAATTTTACTTGGACAAAACCCGAGCTTCTTTCTCTCGTTTATACTTGGTTATAGTGTCACCCTGGTATCGCACTTAGTCTCCTATCCAGTCGATACTGTCCGAAGACGTATGCGTTGGGACAAAATTCGCAGTTCTCGACAGTATACAAGTCATGTGAATTGCCTGTTTCAAATTATACGCAATGAACATATTTCAAGTTTATTCAGAGGAGCTAATACTTGGATTATCAGAAGCATTCCGAGCGCCGGTTTTCTGGCAGGATTCGATCTTTTTGCCAAGATTTATCTCAATATTAAAGACAGTCGCAGTTAGTTTTATTCAAGAAATATCGTACAGATATCGATACAAAAGAACTTGTCTACTCTGTGACGTTGTATAAATCCTGGTAGTTTTGTTCCAGATACTTTGTAATCATAATTGACAAGCCATTGTTTAATGTTTAACCAAAAGTTTGTTCGAAAAGTGGTCATTATCTTATCAATATCAATGACTTCAGATATTAGAAATTCAAATTGAAATTTCTTTAATAAAGGAATATTTTTTTGTATGATGTGTTCCAACTTCTTTCCATCAGCTAAATGTCGATTAAATGCCCGCAGTGAGAATGATTTTAACTGGGGTGTTTCCGCTAGAAATACTGCTAGATTATCAAATGTTGCATCTGAAGAGCGGCTCACCCTAATTTTCAAATGTGTTATTTTGGCTTTTGTTGGAAAATCATGCAGATGTCCGAAGTAGAAAGAGTCAGCTGAAACTCGATTTAAACTGGGGAGAAAGCCAAACAGAGAAGATAACTCTGCACTGGTGGCAGGATTCAAAATTAATTGCTCCAGATTATTTGAAGGAGTTGGCAGAGATAATGACAAACGGGATGGACGAAATTGTACTCGACAAGGTACAGTTAATTGAAGATATTTAAGTGCTGGTATTCTTTTACATATGATCATATTGAATAGATTATTGTAAACTTCTGGATAACTTATTTCAACGTTTCGAATGACTGATAGTGATTTTAAGCTCTGAAACAATGTTAGACGGGGTACTAAATCAATAAAATCCAGTGGTATAATATCGTATATAAATAATGCTTGACAATTTCTAAGGAAACCTGGTATGTTGAACAACTCGTTTAATAAAACCATTTGATCACTATTTGATATTGAAAGAGAACGAATTTGTCCGAGATCTGTATGTTGACGTACAAAGTCGATGGTTTCAATCGTGTTGAAAGTTAGGTGTTTCGAATGCCATTTATTGACAAGGTTGTTCAGTCGAATTGATAATCCATATAGTGAAACATAGAGTTGACTAACATCGAAATATTGAAATATTTCAATTAATAGTTCGTTTGGTAGGTCAAGTAGTTTTGATTGATTCATTTTGTATCTTAAATCTTAATTACTATTTTCTCTTATAATTTTTCTTTATATAACAAAATTTTTTGAAGTTGTTGAATTTTTTCCCAGTAATATTTGCTTATTATCATTCAAGAAATTATGTCATCTCATATGTATTCGTGAGAAAGTCTTTCGCAATGTCGCTTAGATCAGAAGAAGAAAAACGTAGATGCAAGTATTGTATTTAATCTGGTCGTTCTCTTTTTGCGTCATGTGTTTTTTTTACTATGAGTCAATATTGATTTGTGAGTTGTGTCATTCGAATACAATATACAAGGCTGTAACACTTTTATCTTTGCTCTTTTCGATGATATCATCCGTACACTAGTTTACGGATTCATGTACTTTGTATACGATCGACTGTCCCTTCCAGAGAACGTCGTCAAACATCTAAATATTGCTTACAAAATTTCCAGTTTTTCAAGCACGTTTGACTTCTGAAAATCTCTATTTTCTGGACATATACAATGTGAATTTCGAGTAATATTATTAGAGACGATCTCAAAAGATAATATAACATAACTGTGTATATGTTTTATAATGATCTAATAAAATATTCTCACGTCACAAAAAAGTGCGTTTTTTGACATAATAACAAAGGTTATTCCGATATTTTCCTTAATGTCGAACACACTGACATTGTGAAATTATGATGTGTTATCGTCTGTTCATTCATTGTCTTTTAATTCGTATTCATGTTTGATTAATTCGTATTTTGATGCCGAATAAGAATCGTGTTTTTGTTCATTGTAGATCTGAATTAAATTCTTACAAATACGAATAATCCACCATGAACTACGACCAACAATTGATTCTAAAAGAATTTTTAAAGCCTTTTCCTCATTAAACAAAGCATCATCGTAGTTTTCTATTTTTTCGTACAGAAAAGCTAAAGAATCGAGACAAACAGCACATTTTTCATCATCAAGCGATGAATAATATTTGAATGTGAATTGAACTTGTTTTTCTTTGTATTGTATCGATAATATATATTCCCCAATGTCTCTATAGAGATTAGACAAGTTTCCATAGATATCTATTAATTCAATTTCTGCTACTGTTTCTTCAATTGCTTTCATATAAGATTCTATAGCTAAATGAATAGATTTTAAATATTTACTTGAATCTTTCATTGTATCCTTTAAATAACAAAGAGCAATGTCATAATGAATTTGTCCAATGTTGATCGAGCAATAAGTTGAATCATTGTTAAAAATGTCCAATGCTTTATTGTAATACATAAACGCTTCGATAAAATTCNTTATTCCAGTGGTTGCAGCGGTCATTGCTCGAGTCGTCACTATTCTTGGACCACGCGTGACAATTTTTGCTACATGTATGGGCGGTGCTTTTACATTGGAAGGCGGTCAGAAGATGTTAGACTGTGCAATGCGTGGAAAAGCTCCTTGGGAGTGCATTGGCGGACTTTGGTGTAGTGGGAAATCGGCTGCTAATTGTGCTAAGCTTTCCGGCTGAAAATTGAGTGTGCGATGTTTTATTATGTTATCACTAAAAGTTTAATAAAACATTTGTTCGTCTAAAAAAATATGAAGAATGATGGTGTGAGTGAGAGTTTCAATCTTAAACTTTAACGATAATAACTCTGGAAGAACCCACACAATTTTCTCTTTCTCCGATTTGAAGGATACTAAAAATAAATTTCTTTGTTTGCTTTCTTCTGTCGTCTAAAAAGCTTCAATTGTAATTGAAGTGAAATAACAGTAGAGAAAAATTTTCTTTTCGTCAAAGAACGATCGATTGAAAGATTCTTCTTTCATATTACACCATTAGTAAAGAATTTAATAAGTTTAGTGCGCTTAATTGATCTATTTTGATTTTGGTTGACAATGACCGATAAACATGAAACTCGTGTTCACGAACATTTCCATCGAAAAGGTGATCAAATTACTGAAGCTGAATATGTATACGATGAAATTCTCGGCAAAGGCAAAGTAAATCAAAAACGTGTACACGTCAGACGAGAAGTTTTCGAACAAATCGCTGCTACGATTAAGAAAGAAACACTGTCATTTGAAGATTTTATCAAAGTAGTTCGACCATTTCTAATGGTAGAAAGTGCACTTGCAGACATACCTGAAGCATTTAGTCTGCTTGATACAGACAAGTCAAATTCGATTAATATTAACGAATTGGCTGTGTTTATGCCTGCTATTGTACCTAATTCTAATCAATATTTGCTTCTTCGTTATTTTTAACCGGCTGATACAAACAATGATTATATGCTCAGCTTGGAAGAATTTACAGAATTTATTAAGAAAGGTGTTATACGAGATCTTGCACTAGGACGGATTAAAAGTTGAACTCTTTTTATTAAGAGATTTTTTTGAGAAACATGTATTGTCTCTGAATTGGGAATAAATCTTAACTGATTCTCTTTTTTTTTCATTGTTTTATTACTTTGTTGACACATGTATCCACGTGCTGCTGTTCTTATCGTTTGATTGCTGTTGTGCCTCTACAGCACATATTATTCATTTAAAAAAAAAGATCTTCATGTTTTATTTTGAATAATTTAGATTCTTTGATGCTAATTAAAGAACAAAGTTTTCTTAACACAATGACTTCAAGACAAGATATATCATTGAATTTCATCGAAACGTTTGTAATCAGTAGTGTTACAGCTGTGGCGGCGAGAACTTTGATCACTCCGGTTGATCGTTGTAAAATACTTATTACGCACCAAACACAGTTCTTGAAAGATGGTCTCATTTCAAGACCATACAAAGGCTTTACCGATTGCATGATACAAACGTACAAGTATAGAGGTATTCGTCCATTATATCAAGGCAACTTAGCAATATGCATTCGATATTTTCCTATTCATGCATTGAACTTTGCATTTAAGAATGAAATTAAACGTATGTTCAAACAGAACAGCAACGATTCCTATTCGAAAATTTTCTTCGAAAATTTCGTTAGTGGTGGCATTGCCGGTGCATTGTCTGTATGTATTTTGTACTCGTTGAATAATGCTCGACAGCATGTAAATAAAGATATTAGGACTGGTAAAATCAGAAGGGAGAAACGGCAATTACACAGCATTATGAATGCGTACAAAAATATATTAGTGACGGATGGCATAGCTGGCCTTTATCGTGGTTTTCTTATTGTCTGCGTGCATGATGCTATTTATCGTGGATGCTATTTCGGTTTCTATGATACATTGAAGCCAATTTTACTTGGACAAAACCCCAGCTTCTTTCTCTCGTTTATACTTGGTTATGGTGTCACCCTAGTATCGCACTTAGTCTCCTATCCAGTCGATACTGTCCGAAGACGTATGTGGATGGACAAAATTCGCAGTTCTCGACAGTATACAAGTCATGTGAATTGCCTGTTTCAAATTATACGAAATGAACATATTTCAAGTTTATTCAGAGGAGCTAATACTTGGATTATCAGAAGCATTCCGGGTGCCGGTTTGCTGGCAGGATTCGATCTTTTTGCGAAGATTTATCTCAGTATTAAAGACAGTCGCAGTTAGTTTTATTCAAGAAATATCATACAGACATCGATACAAAAGAAATTGTTTACTCTGTGACGTTGTATAAATCCTGGTAGATTTTGTTCCAGATGCTTTGTAATCATAATTGACAAGCCATTGTTTAATGTTTAACCAAAAATTTGTTTGAAAAGTGGTCATTATCTTATCAATATCAATGACTTCAGATATTAGAAATTCAAATTGAAATTTCTTTAATAAAGGAATATTTTTTTGTATGATGTGTTCCCACTTGTTTCCATCAGCGAAATGTCGATTAAATGCCCGCAGTGAGAATGATTTTAACTGGGGTGTTTCCGCTAGAAATACTGCTAGATTATCAAGTGTTGCATCTGAAGAGCGGTTCACCCTAATTTTCAAATGTGTTATTTTGGTTTTTGTTGGAAAATCATGCAGATGTCCGAAGTAGAAAGAGTCAGCTGAAACTCGATTTAAACTGGGGAGAAAACGAAACAGAGAAGATAACTCTGCACTGGTGGCAGGATTCAAAATTAATTGCTCCAGATTATTTGAAGGAGTTGGCAGAGATAATGATGAACGAGATGGACGAAAATGTACTCGACAAGGTACAGTTAATCGAAGATATTTAAGTGCTGGTATGTTTTTGCATATGATCATATTGAATAGATTATTGTAAACTTCTGGATAACTTATTTCAACTTTTCGAATCACTGATAGTGATTTTAAGCTCTGAAACAATTTTAGACGGGGTACTAAATCAATAAAATCCAGTGGTATAATATCGTATATAAATAATTCTTGACAATTTCTAAGAAAACCTGGTATGTTGAATAATTCCTTAAATAAAACCATTTGATTACTATTTGATATTGAAAGAGAACGAATTTGTCCGAGATCTGTATGTTGACGTACAAAGTCGAAGGTTTCAATCGTGTTGAAAGTTAGATGTTTCGAATGCCATTTATTGACAAGGTTGTTCAGTCGAATTGATAATCCATATAGTGAAACATAGAGTTGACTAACATCGAAATATTGAAATATTTCAATCAATAGTTCGTTTGGTAGGTCAAGTAGTTTTGATTGATTCATTTTGTATCTTAAATTTTAAATATAAATTCCAAAACCGAAGTACAGAGAAGTATTACTATTTTCTCTTTATATAACAAAATTTTTTGAAGTTGTTGAATTTTTTCCCAGTAATATTTGTTTATTATCATTCAAGAAATTATGTCATCTCATATGTATTCGTGACGATACAGACATGAACTCATTTCGGGAGAAGGTCTTTCGCAATGTCACTTAAATCAGAAGAAGAAAAACGTCGATGCACATAATGTATTTAATCTGGTCGTTCTCTTTTTGCGTCATGTGTTTTTTTTACTATGAGTCAATATTGATTTATGAGTTGTATCATTCGAATACAATATACAAGGTTGTAACACTTTTCTCTTTGCTCTTTTCGATGATATCATCCGTACGCTACTTTACGAATTCATGTACTTTGTATACGATCGGCTGTCCCTTCCAGAGAACGTCGTCAAACATCTAAATATTGCTTACAAATTGTTCAGGTTTTTGAGCACGTTCAACGCCTGAAGATCCCTATCTTCTGCACATACAATGTGATTTTTGAGTAATACTATTAGAAACGACTCCAAACGATAATATAACATAACTGTGTATGTTTTATAATGATCTAATAAAATATTCTCACGTCACAAAAAAATGCGTTTTTTGACATAGTAACAAAGGTTATTCCGATATTTTCCTTAATGTCAAACACACTGACATTGTGAAATTATGATGTGTTATCGTCTGTTCATTTATTGTCTTTTAATTCGTATTCATGTTTGATTAATTCGTATTTTGATGCCGAATAAGAATCGTGTTTTTGTTCATTGTAAATCCGAATTAAATTCTTACAAATACGAATAATCCACCATGAACTACGATCAACAATGGATTCTAAAAGAATTTTTAAAGCTTTTTCCTCATTAAACAAAGCATCATTGTAGTTTTCTATTTTTTCGTACAGAAAAGCTAAAGAATCGAGACAAACAGCACATTTTTCATCATCAAGCGATGAATAATATTTGAATATGAATTGAACTTGTTTTTCTTTGTATTGTATCGATAATATATATTCCCCAATGTCTCTATAGAGATTAGACAAGTTTCCATAGATATCGATTAATTCAATTTCTGCTACTGTTTCTTCAATTGCTTTCATATAAGATTCTATAGCTAAATGAATAGATTTTAAATATTTACTTGAATCTTTCATTGTATTCTTTAAATAACAAAGAGCAATGTCATAATGAATTTGTCCAATGTTGATCGAGCAATAAGTTGAATCATTGTTAAAAATGTCCAATGCTTTATTGTAATACATAAACGCTTCGATAAAATTCNATCCATTCCGAATGATTCGTGTTAAGATCATAGACAATAATCGACCAAATATTTCTAAAATTGACAATTTGTGAAATCAGAAGTTCGGCTAACTCATTGGATGATATGACTAAAAAGATTGTTGTTGATAGATTTGTTTTTTCAACGTATGTTAAACATTCTTTCAGATTATCGAACACTTTCGTATAATCAATAATTGCTCGAAGATTCTCAATTGATAATAATATCAAAGGACCTAACCAAACCAATTGATGTGATTCAAGATTGATTTGTTCACGATCAAAGAAAAATTGACGACGTTGAACATTGTCTTTCAGCATACCTTCGAATAGATAGAATTAAATTCTTCGACGAAACTCCTTATGTATTACTAAATCAGGATACTTCTCTTGAAAACTCGAAGTTATTCCATAGAAATTAGACTGAAAATTTCGCACCTTTTAAGTCGATGTCTTGTCGGATTTCTCACAGAAAGCAATCGTGCGGAGTTTATGCTTAAAAAAACGTTGCTTTTTCTAATCTTTTGAATACTGATCCTTTGTGTGTTCTAACAGAACATAAGAAGAAAAATAAAAAATTCATTTTTTCTCGTTCTGTTTGTTTTTTCTCAATTGAAGACAGCAATATGCATGAGTTTAATGCGTTAAAATATGTACTCAATCATTAGAACAGCTGCTCTGTCCTTGAAACTATCTATCATCTCTATTGCCGAGCTTATAAATAATTCTTCTAAATGCTGTTATACAATTCTAATCTTTTTGATTCTTAGTAGTCTACCTGTTTCATGTGTATTGAAATCAAAGATAAGAGAATAAGAATGAATCTTTGTTGAATGACTGCATTAACATTCTCTTCATTTTTACGTATGACGTAGTTCCTTATTGCGTGTTATGATTACTATCTACGAGATATTGAAACCAATTTTATTTGGACAAAATCTTAGCTTCTTTCTCTCGTTTATATTTGGTTATGGTTTCACCATGGTATCGCACTTCGTCCATCTCACATGAATCGTCTTTTTTAAATTGTAACTCACAGTTAGTTTTATTCAAGAAATAACGTACAGATATCAATGCAAAAGAATTTCTCTACTGTGAATTACTTTGCCTTTTGATTAAACTTTTGAAGCGCTAGACACAAATTCTTTTGATCCTGTGAAATAGTGTATCCTTGCGCTAATAGTTCTTGAGGTCCAGTAATGAATACCAATGCTAATCCANTTAATTCAATTTCTGCTACTGTTTCTTCAATTGCTTTCATATAAGATTCTATAGCTAAATGAATAGATTTTAAATATTTACTTGAATCTTTCATTGTATCCTTTAAATAACAAAGAGCAATGTCATAATGAATTTGTCCAATGTTGATCGAGCAATAAGTTGAATCATTGTTAAAAATGTCCAATGCTTTATTGTAATACATAAACGCTTCGATAAAATTCTTTTCAGGGCATATCTTAAATCGACCGATACAATGAAATCGAAGTCCATTGATCCATTCTTCTTCTCCTGAATATAAATCACACAAAACATCGAAAATTAAGTTTATATCTTTGATTGATGCAAATTGTAAACTATCAACTAAAGTCGTTTGAAATTTTCTTATTCGATGACTATGACATGTCAAATTTTCATAGATTCTTTCGTCTATTAAATATTCATCCCGAGTTAATTGTAATTTTACCGTCCATAAGTTTTCATTCTTATCATAAGTAACACCATTTTGTCTTGCAATTTTAAATGGTGTTCCAACCATAAACAACATCTCTAATTCGCCTGGATATTGACTTAGATGAGTAATATTGGCATAAGGACGTGATCGTCGGTGAATATCAATTTCAATTTCGAATAGGATACGTTGAAGGCTATGATCTTTAAGTTGATGAGACTCTGGAAGATAAAAGAGAGCTATTTGACGATTTGAAGAAGTGGAAAATAGACTATTATTCACAATGATGAAATTTGTATCGAGTTCGTTGATTTCTTTCCGAGACATTAATTGTCCACGATAGACTTTCATTATCGGTTTCGTTAAATGTAATACCTTAAATGCTTCATATTCTGTTTGTATTTGTTTGTACAAATCTTGTATAAAGAACCCAAATAGAAATGTCATTTCAACGTTATGTCGCCGAAGGGCATTATTTAAAAGAGTATAAAACAACGTGCCACCTGTGTACCACCAAACAGCTCTATCTGGTTTATATTCTTTTTCAAATTTATCAAGAGTTTTTAATTCGGGACCTTTATGATTGTAATAAGTTCTTAATGAATCAAGAAGTTTATGGTAAAATCCATCTGGATATGATAAATGAATTAAAATATCTATATAGGTTATCCACCAGGATTCATTTGCATCATCCGTTGTGTTATCTTCATGTGTATCGAAAATACGAGAAATTCTATGATTTTCATAGTTTCTGTATTTGAAAACGTCGTCTTTCAAATCAGATAACAATTGATTTCGATCTTTATAAATTCCCTTGATCTAAATAAAAACAATATCTGATCAATTGATGACTGTAGTAACGATAGAATAGAAAATAGACTTTTGGATAACTTGAAATCCATTCCGAATGATTCGTGTTAAGATCATAGACAATAATCGACCAAATATTTCTAAAATTGACAATTTGTGAAATCAGAAGTTCGGCTAACTCATTGGATGATATGACTAAAAAGATTGTTGTTGATAGATTTGTTTTTTCAACGTATATTAAACATTCTTTCAGACTATCGAACACTTTCGTATAATCAATAATTGCTCGAAGATTCTCAATTGATAATAATATCAAAGGACCTAACCAAACCAATTGATGTGATTCAAGATTGAATTGTTTACGATCAAAGAAAAATTGACGACGTTGAACATTGCCTTTCAGCATACCTTCGAATAGATAGAATTAAATTCTCCGACGAAACTCCTTATGTATTACTAAATCAGGATACTTCTCTTGAAAACTCGAAGTTATTCCATAGAAATTAGACTGAAAATGTCGCACCTTTTTCAGTCGATGTCTTGTCGGATTTCTCACAGAAAGCAATCGTGCGGAGTTTGTGCTTAAAAAATAACGTTGCCTTTTCTAATCTTTTGAATACTGATCGTTGGTGTGTTCTGACAGAACATAAGAAGAAAAATAAAAAACTTCATTTTTCTCGTTCTGTTTGTTTTTTCTCAATTGAAGACAGTAATTTATGCATGAGTTTAATGCATTAAAATATGTACTCAATCAGTAGAACAGCTGCTCTGTCCTTGAAACTATCTATCATCTCTGTTGCCGCGTTTGTAAATAATTCTTCTAAATGCTGCTATACAATTCTAATCTTTTTGATTCTTAGTAGTCTACCTGTTTCATGTGTATCGAAATCAAAGATAAGAGAGTAGTAATGAATTTTTTTTTGAATGACTGCATTAACATTCTCTTCATTTTTACGTATGACGTAGTTCCTTATTGCGTGTTATGATTAATATCTACGAGATATTGAAACCAATTTTATTCAGGCAAAATCTTAGCTTCTTTCTCTCGTGTATACTTGGTTATGGTTTCACCATGGTAAATCATCTTTTTTAAATTGTAACTCGCAGTTAGTTTTATTCAAGAAATAACGTACAGATATCAATGCAAAAGAATTTCTCTACTGTGAATTACTTTGCCTTTTGATTAAGTTTTTGAAGCGCTAGACACAAATTCTTTTGATCCTGTGAAATAGTGTATCCTTGCGCTAATAGTTCTTGAGGTCCAGTAATGAATACCAATGCTAATCCAGCACTCATATGCCATTCGATGTGACAATGAAAGAACCAAGCACCAGCTTTATCAGCTATATATCGAATCTTCGCCCAGCCTAATGCAGGAATACTGACTGTGTCTCGTTGAATATAATTTCCAGAATATAAAGACTCAGCTTGCGGATAGTCTGATGTGGCGACAATCCAGAATTTATGACCATGTAAATGAAATGGATGCTCACCAGTATCGGTATTGTTCAGAAAAATATCAACAATAGCTTGGTATGGGACTAAATAATGACCATTTCCGTCGCTTTGAATAGTTGGAAGTTGATTTCCAGTTTGTAGGAGAGGTGAAGGAATTCCTAAACTATTGGGTTTTGTTGCCATTTGGTGGAGCAGAGGTGCATAGAGATCAGAAGTGATTCCTTGTGCTGGATTGGATCTCATGTGCATATAATTCGCATCGGAACTGTATGCTACATTATTGAGATATGCATAGATTATTCCGTTAGTAGCCGTGTTAAATGAAATGACAAGATTTAGAAAATGAGTTGCTTGTGGAATTTCATTCAAACTGGGATTCCATGCTCGAGCATCTAGAATATTTGTTTCTTTAGGAGTAACTGCATTTTTCAACACTGGTGTGTCATCACTGGCCGAATACAATGGAAAAAAGTTATTCCCATCGAAAGATAAAATTGCTAAATACAATGGTTTGAAGAATGTGGGATAAGGATATTGTTGAGCTTCATAAGGTGGAATATAATTAAGAATATCAACCGAATACATCGATATCATTGCTTGAAATCGGATAAAGATCGAACCTGTAGACGAGGCACCTGAGCTTGTATACGATGAATCTAATTCACTCAAATCAACATAGAATGAAACCCGTTGTGCAACATTGATACTAAATGAATCGACAGTGTATGGTAGACTGTCGACTTGATCCAATTCGATAATATGTAATGGCAGACCGTCGATGGAAACAGTATACATGGACAACGCAGCGCTATTGATGATTCGAAATCGGACGCGTGACGTTCGAGAAAGTGGAATGGATAAAGATTGAGTAAATCTTCCATTAACAACGATCGCGTCGGGTGATGGCTCATTTCCATCTGTATTATTTGGATTTAAGTACCAAGGAAGTAATTCTGAATGTGCTTGATTGTTGTACCAATCAGCAACCATTAATATCTGTTCACTGTCATATTTATTTTGATTTGGTTCGTTTCGATGATGAATAATCAATGGACCATACAATCCATCAGTATATTGTTCAAGTAAATGTCCATGATACCAGGATGTTCCTGCTGGTTCGGCTTTAAACGTGTAAATCATTTCTGCGTTTGGTGGAATAGCACATTGAGAAACACCAACTGCTCCGTCCATGCCAGGAGTTCGATTTTGAAAAAGCCCATGCCAATGTAATGTCGTTGGAGCACTAAGTCGATTGATCACTCGAATGATCAACGTATCGCCTTCGTAAGCTTCGATCATTGGACCGGGAAACGAATAGTTGGCCACAATCATTGGTTTGATCGACTGCGGATATGGATATATCTTATCGATAATTAATGTTTGATGGATCTCTACTGGATTCGGATTTGCTTTCGCTCCTAAGTAGAAAACTTATTCGCATGTGCACTTTTGTATGAAGTCGATTTACCATCTATGATAGAATAATTATTCGAATTAGAGTTATAATTTTTCGACGGTATTGGGTGTGTTTTTCTTTTGTTTTTAGAACCTTTGACGATAAATATTCAAAACTTAGAAAAAAGAAATACGATGAACATACGCGATCGATGATGTTTAACATGCTTAGAGAAACAATCCGACGATCGTCGTTTTCGAATAAGTTCGTCTTGTTCTTGAAAATTCCTATCGAATAAT